CTTCTTTGTTCCGTTCATTTCTTCTTTATTCTGACATCTCTTTCCCCCTCTCCCTTCTCCTCCCTTCTTCTTTTCTCTCTTCCTCTCCTTCTTTATCTCCATTTCTGTTCTGCTTCCTCCCCTGGCCTTTATTTTTGATCCTTCCTTCTCATCCTTTGTTCCTTAGATGGCTGCCTCTCAATATTGGCTCTCTCTTCTGGTCCTCTCCTGCCAGCAGCTGGAGGATGAGCAGTTAAGAAAAATTAAAGAGAAATAAAATAAAAGGCCAGGCTAGGCGAGTCAAGGGTGATCAGCCACAGGACTGTTTATTTCAAGTAAAGCTTGAACTTCTATACATAAAAGTGAAATGATGATCTACAATATCCAAACAGCAAGAGCTAAAGATACAAAGTTCTCACAAGATAAGACACCTGGGGAGCATAGCTTGAGGGTACAAGGTTCTCACTAGATAAGACACACCAGAGGAGCATCACTTCAGGGTGAAGGTTAATTGTCTATTCTAAGACTTCTCTATTTACTTATGACTATGCACTTTCCCACGGGACTCAGCAAATGTTTACTCAGCAGCAAAGCAAGTCCAGGGTACAGTCAAGGACAGATGATCCAGAGAAGCCTTTGCCTTTACCCATATTGACCCCCAATAGCTAGAGATTTTCCAGGTAGATTCCATCCCCAACACTCTCTTGCTGTGTGGCTCTCTTGCTGCCACTGTGTGCTCAGGGGGCTGCACAGGAGCCAGTGTACCCCGGCGATGGTGCCACCCTAGAGCAGATGGCTCTGTATGCTGCGGAGCTCCAAAGATATATCAGTAGGCTGACCCGGCCCAGGTGAGTGAGAGTCACTGGAGTGGGTGGAAGTGGTGCTGGGGTCTGCGAGTCTGAAAAATGGCAAAGTGACATAGTGAAGACAGCAAGCTCCTCAGAGCCAGGAGGTCTGAAAACAGGTTTTTAGCTGGGGATGTTACAAAGGTATGTATGTGTTGGACAGGTAAAGTCTGAGGTCCTTTCCATATTGGCAATTCTGGGTATATGTACAGCATGCTTATGTATGTATGTGAGTAAATGCATGAGGGTGAGTCTGGACTACTTTTCTTAACAGTGAGACCTTAAAGTTAATGTGATCAGATTTATCCAGATACAGTGGGAAAAAATCCACAAATTCCCACCAACCCTAATTCTGGGGACTAACCACACCCCTAACCACACACTTCTCTCTCAGATAGACAATTCAAATTCTACCTTTCTGTCCTAGGTAGGGATTAGGAATGCCATTCTCAGAGAGGAAGGAGAGGGTCTATGTGTGTGTGTAATGACTGCATGTCTGAGTTTGTGAGACTGTATGTTTGTATGTGTATGAGCGTGGCCTTGTCTAAGTGGTGGGGGTGTGGACAGCTCTGATCCCAGATATATTTGCCACATTACTCTGCAGGTATGGGAAGGGAGCAGTGGGCCAGAGAATCTTCCAGGATGGAGTGGATATCTTGGAGTAGGTGGTTCTGCTGCAGCATTCCCAGGTACCAAGTTCGCCAAAACCTCTGAACTTCTCTAGACTAGGGGGGAGGAGGGTATAGTATGTTTGTGTGTGTGTGCGTGTGTGTGTGTGTTTGCCCTCCAGAAGTAGGGAAGTAGAGTGGCTGGAGGAAGGAGGGATAAGGTGTTAGATGAGCAACAGGGCCCTTAGGGGCAGGATTAGGGTCCCTTGGGAAAGAATATGAGTAGAGTCTCTGAGGTGATGGGGACAAGATGTCATGCTAACTGGGGAGCCTTTGTCTCTAACCCGCCGTCCTGCTGTCCATTCTCTTCTCTTACAGGACACCCAGTCATCTGAAACATCAGAGCTCCTGCCTCATTCCCCTTTCCTCATTTCCAGAGCCCTGTAGGAAGTCTTGGTCCTAGCTCCTATGGCCCTGGCAGAAGCTGAGCCATAGAGTTCTATCCTCATCCCTAAACCAGGCTTAATAAAGCTGAATCAAAATCACAGTCCCTTTGTCTCTCTGTGGATTTCTCTTTATAAATCGATTCTTTATGATTTAGGGAGTGATTCTGTAGGTATTATCTGCTTTGATCATGAGGTAGGCAAGGCATGTAGAAAGAATTTCCCATTTTACAAATAAGTATCCTGAGGGTTGCCAATGATAAAACCCTTTCCCAAGATTTATCAATGAAAATGTAAGAATAATGTATGAACAATTTAAGAATAAGAATGTAAGACTAGAATCTGGGTCTCTGTGGGGTCCATGAGGGGTGGCTACAGTATAATGGAGGGACTCAAGGGATGTGGGGGTAGGAGTAGATAAGCTTTAAGACTTCAGTAAAACAGGCGAGGCCCATGTTGAGGGTATTCTATTGTCACAATTGCTCTCCTGAATATTCTGAAAACTGGCTCTAGAACCCCTTGCTATCTTTCTCAAGTTCAGTGTGACTGGGTAGTCAGTTAGACAATCCATGGCCTGTGACCTCATTCAGTATAATCATCTATATTACAAGAGTCACTGATCCACACACAAAATGTAGGTATATTAACAACGTAAATAATGAGAAGGAATCAAGTAGGAAAGTTATTCTCTTTCCCCAACTTCCCAACCCATCCCCCACCACACACACACACACACACACACACACACACACTACACTCCAAAGTTATAAAACCATAGAATGTCCAAGGTGAAAGGGATCTTTTTTTCATTTTCTTTTTTTTCATTTCTTTTTTGTGGAAGGGATCTTTAGTTAATTTAGTCCACCTCTCATTTTTTTTTTTTGCAGCTAAGTGGCTCAGAGGATCCCTAGAACACTGGATTTGGAGGCAGGAAAACATGAGTTTAAAGCCCACCTCAGACACTTAATAGCTCTGTGATCCCAGGTAATCACTTAACCCTTTTCAGCCTCAGTTTTCTCAACTGTAAAATGAAGATAATAATAGTCCCTACCTCCCAGGTGAGGATGTGAGGATGTGATGTGAGGATGAAATGAGATAATATTTGCAAAGAGCTTTTCACAATTTAAAGTGCTATATAAATGCTAGCTACTATTATTATTTTACAATGGGAGAAACTGAGACTTTGAGAGAATAAATGACTTGCCCGAGGTCACACACCTACTTGGTGCCAGAGATGGGGCTGGAACTGAGGTCTCCTGACTCCCTCACTCCTCTTCCTGCTATGTTGCTTTTTGGTCCTTCATAGCTAGTTCTCTTCTTGACTGACAAGGGGATGATCTTCCTCAGAGTTTGGTCTTCCTTCTTAAGTCTACCTGAAAAATCAAAGGAAAGATGAACAAAACAGAAAATAATAATACAAGAAACAATCCTAGAAACAAAACTAGCAACTTTTTTTGAGGAAAAAACCCTCAACAAACAAACCAATAAACCATTAGCTAATTTGATTAAAAAGAAGAAAATCAAATTACCAGTATCAAAAATGGAAAAGAAACATTCACAACAAATGGAAGAGAAATAAAGGATATCATTAGAAACTATTTTGTCCAAGTACATCCTAACAAACCAACTTAAATGAAATAAATATTGACAAAAATATAAAATATCCAAATTAACAGAACAAGAAATAGAGAATATAAGTAATCCAATGTCAGAGAGGAAAAAAATGAATAAGCCAGAGATGAAGTTCCAAAAGGGAAAAACATCCAGGGCCAGATGGATTCACAAGTGAATTCTATCAAACAGTTAAAGAAAAATTAATTCCAATATTAGATGAACTGTTTACAAGACTAGCCAAAGACAAGATCCTACCAAATTCCTTCTGTGACACAAATGTAGTCTTGATACATAAAACAGGTAGAATCAAAATGGAAATAGAAAACTATAGACCCATATCTCTAATGAACATAGACATGAAAATTTTAAATAAAATATCAACAAATAGACTAAAATAATGTGTCATAAATATTATATACTATGACCAAGTTGGATTTATACCAGTAGCATAGAGTATATTTATTATTAGGAAAACTATGGACTTAACTAACCTTGTTAACAACAAAAACATATGATTACATTAATAGACGCAGACAAAACTTGACAAAATATTTCTGCCACCAACACTAGAAATATAGGGATAAATGAACCTTTCCTTAAAATAATAAATAATATATATTTAAAACCAAGAACTACCATTATATGCAATGGAGAGAAACTAGAATCTTTTCTTATAAAATCAGGGATGAAACAAAGATGTCCATTTTTGCCACTTCTATTTGACACAGTATTATTAATGCTGGCAACAGGACAAGAAAAATAAATTGAGGGAATAACTATGGGGAAAAATCATAATTATCACTTTTTGCAGATGATATGATGTTGTATGTAAAGAACTCTAAAGAGTCAACTAAAATTTTATTGAAACAGTTAAAACTAGCAAATTTGCTGGATATAAAATAAATCCCCAGAAATTCTCAGCATTTCTGTATAATACCAATAAAAATTGACACAAAAACTATGTAAATACAACTACAAACTATTGTTTACAGAAATAAAGGTGGACCTAAGTAATTGGAAAATATTAAGTGATTATGCGTATAACAAATCAATATAATAAAATTAATAATATTTTCTAAATCAATTTACTCATTTGTGTGGATATCAACCAAACAATCAAAGTATTAATAGAACAAGAAAATAATAACAAAATTCATATGGGGGCAAAAACAAAAGGTCAAGATTCTAAAGGAAAAAGTAATGAAAATAAGTGGGGTTGGAAAGGGGGCCTGTCAGCACCAGATCTCTAGCCACATGACAAGGCAGTAATTCTCAAAACAATTTTGTGCAGGTTAAAAAAAATAGAGAGATAAGAAGGAATAAGAAGAGCTGAAATTCTGGCTAAGGTCCTCTAGTTCCAAATCAATCAACAAGTATTAAGTCACTATCATGGGCCAGAAGCTGCCCATGCTACCACTCTGTCTCCTGATTCTTCCCTCTATGGATGGCATTGTCATAGTTATTTCAAATCCTGTAACATTATATAATCTCTTAGATTGATCCATTAATTCCTCAAAAGAGTTTGGCCTAACTATTCACATATGTAGCTAGGTGGCACAGTGGATTGAAGGTCAGGCCTAGAATTAGGAAGACGTGAGTTGAAATCTGACCTCAGGCACTTCCTAGCTGTGTGACCCTGAGCAAGTCATTTAACTCTGTTTGCCTCAGTTTCCTCATCTGTAAAAAATAACTGGAGATAGAAATGGCAAACCACTCTCCAGTATCTTTTGTCAAGAAAACCCCAAATGAGGTCATGGAGAGTTGGTCATGACTGAAAAATGACTGAACAACAACAATAAAGCTCCACTGGAAGGTATCTTTGCAATGTTAAAACAAAACCAGGAAGGTTCCTAGCACATGGGTTGGGATTTGTTGCAGTGAATTTACTGGAGAATATAGGTTAAGAGTTACCCAGGATGAGCAGTCAGGAGATCTGCATTGTTGTGAGTAATACCCACATTGATGAGATTGATTTGAGTATTTCACTACGCAGAGAAGATGAATAATTATTGTAAAATAAAGCTGATTTTTCTTGTGCTCTTATACATGTTTCCTTATCTCCTGCTGTTATTGCTATCTCTAAACAGCCTTGTAGCAACAAATGTGTAAGTCTGGAAAGGGGCTGGTAACATAAATTCCCAATTTTCATGCCTTCATATTTTCTGGAAAGCTCTCCATATCTGGTATGGAGCTTTTCATAATTAAGAATAACATTAAGAGAACATTCTTTTGAAAAGTATTCATCACATTTATATAGTACTTTTTGCAATGGAAACTGTCAAGCATAGTTCCAATCTCTAAGTGATGTTTTTCTAGTTCTACCATTGGCCACTGACATTTCCTTGGTACCAATGATTTTGTTGAGACAGGAATGATGAGGTGTATGGCCTCAGCAAACTGATGAGGAACTTTCCATTCCATGGAAAAGACTTGTTAATTGCCATTTTTTCTCATTTGCACATATCACTGTATTCTGGTTTTTAGATATTTTTAGGTAAAGAATCTGAAGTGCAGAGAGGCAAAATATCCAGACTGTGTAGTCAGGCTTAGCACCCAGGTTTCCCAATTCAATCCATTGGGATTTGCATTTCAATATGCTTCTGGTTATTTCTTCATTTCTTTCTTTCTTTCTTTCTTCCTCTTCTTCTTCCTCTTCCTCCTCCTCCTCCTCCTCCTTTTCCTCTTCTTCTTCTTCTTCTTCTTCTTC